CCCCACTGGGTCACATCCCACCCAGGGTCACCCCAAGGTGTTCCAAACCCTCCAGAGCACACATGGGGGGCCCAGGGGTCACCAGTTCCTCTGTCTCCTCATGTCCATGTTCACCATGTCCCCTCCTTGTCCCCTCTTTGTCACCATCTCCCATGTCCCATCCATCACCTCATGTCCCTCCATGTCCCCATCTCCACCACCCTGATGCCCCCATGTCCCCCCTCTTGTCTCCCTCATCCCCTCCATGTCCCCATCTCTGTCCTCTCATGTCCTCACCCCATCCTGTCCTTCTCCTGTCTCCCATCTGTGTCCCATGTCCCTACCATGTCCCCTCCATGTTCCCCACCCCAATGTCCCCTCTGTCTCTGTCCTGTCTCCCTCTGTCTCCATCCCCTCATGTCCCCACCATGTCCCCCATGTCCCATGGCCCGATGTCCTCTCCATGTCCCTTCCATGTTCCCAACCTCACCTCCCCCACGCTGATGTCCCCCTGTCTCTGTCCCCTCATGTCCCCACCCCACCATGTCCTTCTCTGGTCTCCCACCCATGTCCCCTGTCCTTTCTGTGTCCCCTCCATGTCCCAATGTCCCCTCTATGTCAACTCCTCCACCCCAATGTCCCTCTATCCCCTCATGTCCCCCATGTGTCCCCTGTGTGTCCCGTTTGCCTCCACCTCTCCTCCTCAGCCTCATCCCCCAAGTCTGTGTCCCCTCCAAATCCCCACGTCCCCCTCATGTCCTCTCCATGTCCCCACCTCCCCTACCCCAACATCCCCATGTCTCTGTCCCCCCAGGCTTCTTCCCTGTCCCCCGCCATCCCCTCATGTCCTCCATATGTCCCCTGCATGTCCTCATGTGTCCCCACCTCAACTCCTCATTGTCCTCATTTCCCAAATTCCCATGTCCCCTCCATGTCCCCCTCATCCTCCATGTCCTCATCTCTCCCACCCCAATGTCCCCACCTCTGTGTCCCCCTCATCCTCCATGTCCTCCTCTCTCCCACCCCAATGTCCCCACCTCTGTCCCCTCATGTCCCCAGCACGTCCTTCTCCTGTCTCTCACGCATGCCCCATGTCCCCTTTGTGTCCCCTCCATGTCCTCATCCTTCATGTCCTCCATGCCCCCTCCATGTTCCCCCAATGTCCCCAAACCTCCACCTCCTCTACCCTAATGTCCCCATGTCTGTCCTGTGTCCCCATGTCTCCATCCCCTCATGTCCCCACCACATCCCCACCTCTCTTCGTCATCCTCATCCCCCATGTCCCCTCCATGTCCTCATGTCTCCATCTTCCCCACTCTGATGTCCCCAAGTCTCTGTCCTGTGTCCCCTCATGTCCCTGCCATGTCCCTCTGTCCCCACCTCTCCTCCTCATCGTCCTCGTCCCCCATGGCATCATCGATGGCATCATTCATCAGCTCCTCCTTCATGTCCATGATCTCTGCCTGCTTCTCAAACTCCTGCATGATCTTCTGGATCTGGGGCAGCTTCAGCTGGGACAGGACAGGGGACAGTGGGGAAATGGCCACCATAGGACCTTGGGGTGGCCCCAGGGTTGCCACAGCCTCAAGGACACCTGTGGTGGCCATGGCTACGGCCATGTCCTCCTGGTGGTGGTCATGGGCTTGCAGAGGTCTTTGTGGGCAGCACAGGGAAACTTGTGGTAGCAATGACCACAGGGATGTCCTCCTGAAGGGCTGGTGGCAGCCACAGGCTTGGGGAGGTCTTTGTGGGCAGCAAAGGAACACCTGTGGTGGCCACGGCAAAAAGGCAGCCTGTGGTGGCCACAAGTCTTGGGATGTCCTCAAGGCCACTGTGGGGCAGCTCATAGTGGTCATGGCCTTGGGGATGTCCCCACAAAACATCTCATGGTGGTTATGACCTTGGGGACATCACCATGGCCACCCCAGGGCAGTTCATGGTGGTCACAGCCTTGAGGACAACCCCACAGAGCATCTCATGGTGGTTATCACCTTAGGGACATCATCATGGCCACTCTAGGGCAGCTCATAACGGTCATGGCCTTGGGCACGTCCCCACAGAACACCTCATAGTGGCTATGGCCTTGGGGACCTCCTTGATGACACCCACCTGTCTGTTCATGGTGGCCATGGCCTTGGTGACGCCCTTCATGGCCTGGGCCATGGAGCTGTTGGACTTAAGTGTTTGGATCTTGAGTGCCACTGCCTGCACGTTGGCCCTCATCGTGATGAACTTCTTCACAT